CATGGTATCGAGCAGGTTCCCTCGTAGGAATTGTTCCTAGGGCCCTACTACTGCTTCCGCTGCTACTCGATCTGTCGCACGCCCCGTGGCGTGCGACCTATTTTCATCTCGCCGCGCGCCTTTCTTTCTGGCGCGCACCCCGAGGCGCGCGGCCCCGCTACCCCGTCGCGCCGCCCTAGCGGCCGCGTCGCGCCGCCCTCGCGGCCCCGTTCCGCCGCCCTAGTGGCCCCGTCACCTACCCCTGCGGCCTCAGCGCCGCCCTTCCCGGCCCCGGCTCCGCCCTTCCCGGCCTTGGCGCCACCTCGGCTGGCCCCGTCGCCTACCTCGGCGACCGCGACGCCGCCCTTCCCGACCCAGCCCCGCCTCTGCTGGCCCCGTCGCCTGCCCCTGCGGCCCCGGCTCTGCCCTTCCCGGCCCAGGCGCCACCTTGGCTGGCCCCGTCGCCTACCCCGGCGACCCCGACGCCACTCTTCCCAACCCGGACCCGCCTCTGCTGACCCCGTCGCCTACCCCTGCGGCCCCGGCGCTGCCCTTCCCGGCCCCGGCGCCGCCTCTGCTGGCCCCGTCGCCGCTCCACCCGGCCCCGCCGCCGTCCCCAAGCGGCCCCGCCGTCACCACCAAGCCGCCGGCGCCGCCGAGCTAGTGCCGAGCCGCCCGAGCCACCCGAGCCGCCCGAGCCGCAGCGCCACCTCAGCCGCCCGAGCCGCCGGGTCGCCGAGCCGCCGAGCTGCAGTTGCTGCCGAGCCGCCGTACCGCCGAGCCGCCCAAGCCGCCGAGCCGCCAAGCCGCCCGAGTCGCCCGAGCCGCCGAGCCGCCCGAGTCGCCCGAGCCGCCGAGCCGCAGTTGCTGCCGTGCCTCCGTGCCGCCGAGCCGCCCGCACCGCCGAGTCGCCGAGTCGCCGAGTCGTCGAGCCTGCTCTTCCCACCACTGGTGAGCCCCTGCCTTACTAGCGTGCTGCCCGCAGCTTGCTTGGCTGCCTGCCTTACTGCTGCTACTCCTGCTCCTGCTTCTACTGGCGGAGCCAGATGCAGCCCCAGCGACGTCCGCGTGAGTCCCTCACGCCCCAGCAGCTGCGTGAGTGGTACGCTGGTTGGGGTTGTAGGGGTGGCGGCGCTACTACTGCTACTACTACTGGCGGCGGCCAGATGCAGCTCCAGCGACGCCCACGCGCGTCTCTCACGCCCCAGCAGCTTCGTGAGTGGTACGCTCAGAGTAGAGGGTCTCTCAGTTCTGTTCGCTGCTCTTACGTGATTCGCAATGGTGCTTGGACTGGTCAGCCTTGTGGGACGCCTAGTCACACACAGTCCCGCTGCTTCGCCCGTCTGAGCGACGCCTGGCGTACCGAGTTTGGCGACGAGGCTGAGCTCCCCGACTGGGTGGAGTTGCTTAGGCTGAGGGTAGATATATTTGCTCTTGACTATGATGCTATTCTCACTGCCATGTATGCTGACACTGCTGGACTCGCCTACGTGAAGTCCGAGCTGCAGAAGAGACACACGTGCACAGACCTGTGTGAACTACGCAGCTACCTTGGCTTGCAGATCACCCGGGACAGAGCACGCCGCACCATTACCCTGACTCAGTCACATATGGTGCAGCAGGTCCTTCAGCGCTTCGGCTTCACGTACTCCTCGCCTCAGGCCACTCCTCTGCCTACTCGCCACTCGCTCTCAGCTCTGCCTTTGGATGAGTCCGTAGATTCGAGTGGCCCGTATCCAGAGCTTGTTGGCTGCCTCATGTACCTGATGACCTGCACACGACCTGACCTTGCATACCCTCTTAGCATTCTTGCACCCTATGTTGCTCCTTGGAGACACCGACCAGAGCACATGGCTACAGCGAAGAGGGTGTTGCGCTACTTGTGCAATACGTCGGGCATGGGGCTAGTGCTTGGACGGCGCAGTCCAGTGGTCCTCACTGGGCACGCAGACTCTTCTTGAGCTGACGACCAGGCTACGCAGCGGTCGTCACAGGGTTACACCTTCAGCCTTGGTTCCGGCTCTGTCTCGTGGCGGGCTACTCACTCGTCTTCTGTTCTCGGCTCCAGTTGTGATGCTGAGATCTACGCTGGGGCCATGGCTGCACAGGAGCTTCGCTGGCTCACCTACCTGCTGACTGACCTCGGAGAGCCGCCTCGTTCGCCTCCAGTTCTGTACGTAGACAACAAGGCCATACTGGCCTTGTGTCGAGAGCAGCGAGTGGAGCACAGAACAAAGCACATTGCTCTCCGCTACTTCCTTGCTCGTGAGCTACAGCAGCGTGGACAGTTGCGGCTTGCGTACGTGGCCTCTGAGGCCAACACTGCTGATGTCTTCACCAAGGCACTTGCGCCTTGTGATCATCAGCGCTTCTGCACTCAGCTGGGTCTTGTCCCTGTCTTGCCTCACTTGCTCACCTCTTGACCTTTCTTGTACTGTTACATATATATATACCTGCTCTTGCTTGTCTAGCCTTATATATTTATATAATCCTGCATGTGAACTGGCCTTGTGGCCTTGAACTTGTGCTCAGAATGTGTGGTGACTTTGTGATCCACCCTGAGATTTGCTTTGCTTTGCTTTGTTTGACTGGTCTTGTGACCCCCTGTTCTCCCCCACTTTGCCTATGGGGGTGTGTCAGAACATTATAGCTTATACTGTTGTGTAGGCTGTAGTGGGGTATCCCATAGGGGTACAACCCAATTAGGGTTAGTACTTGTACCCACTTCTTCCATAGTTCATTCATTCTCGTTTCAGTTTTCTCACTTGTATCTCTTTGTTTTAATCAACTTACTTTGCCCTCACATACTAGCGCCAGGTGGTTCAAAACTCTTTATTAACGCTTCCGCTACTACACCAACTCTACCCAGAGTTCACCCCTGCAAAGATCCTAAGGGCTTTTCAGCCCAACACCGTCTCCCTTCCCATCGCAACCTTGTCACCCTCTCTTTTCTACTCCTACACACGCCCTTCCCTCCTCCCAATGATCGCCAATCGGCCCCACGCTGCTTACCTCTCTCCCTCTTTCCCCCATCATCTGCTTTCCCCCATCCCCTTTGCTGCTTCCCCCCATCCCCTACCCTGTTTCCACCCACATCCCAAAAAAGTCCCCCGCAATTTTCTACCCCAAGGTCACATCAGGGTTACCCCGATTGGTGATACCCCAGTGTCGCTAGCAATGATACCCCAATGTTACCCCGGTCGACTATTCAGTTCGTTGTCACACGGGGGTGACCCCGAGATGTGACCCACACATTACCCCAACCTTACCTCCCGCGAAGTTTGGGCCCAATCACGTGCGTTCCCGCTTCCCGCCTCACGCCAGCCGCTTCCGCGCTGTTAACATTCTCGATTTCAACAATATCATAGCTACAGCACAGTATATTCTTTTGTCATAAAAAAACATCTAATAGATTCTATTCCGCTTTACCCACAATTAGTATTGATATCAATCAATTAATGTTAATTTTGTCACATGGGCGCTTTTATTGCCAGTATAATATGTATGCAGAAGCTGGTCGATTCAATTAATTAATATCTGCACATTTTAAATAAAGAATTACAGAACACTTTCTGACATGCAGACAACGTGCATTACTCTGCAGACACAGCACGTTATACAAGCTAAGTTACTCACTCAGGAGGGCTCCAGCACAACCTCACTACCCTATGTAGACGATGGTTTGCTCCTCCAACACACAACACAAAGAAAACAGGAACGCACGAGATTGCAGGATTCTTACCACACGAATACGTGACAGGATCGCCAGCCCTATTCTGCACCGAGTGGCGACATTCAGGCAGGGGGAGGGTGGGTAAGAGTGAGGAATAAGTAGTGAGAACCAGTAGAGAAACATTGGTACACGAGGAAACGATTTTGTCACGCCACAGGTGTCTATTATGCACCGCATGGTCACCAGTAGAGAAATCTGGCGAGATACGAAGCGAGTTCGTGATACAGCATCTGCAAAACCTTCGCGGCAAAGGCAACGGAATTCGATGAAACAAACCATGTGACGGAGAGAAGGCATGTGGAAACCAGGCTGCTAACAAATAAAAACAAACGGAATGAAAGGGCGCTCATCCTGCAACCCCATCGTACAGCATTTCAGCTTACCTCATGACGAGCACTATTTACAGCTTGACTGAACAACAATTCTTGGGTCGATACACGTCGAGAATGGAGCATCACGCATCGCCCCCGTGTTCGACATTCTGCCATGAAGAAACGATAACGAAATAAGACATATACGATGCATGTCATTCAAACAACGGCACCCCTAACATACAAGGACTTCGCTAGTGGAAAAGTGAAGGAACAGCCTTCCTAAACGTGAACGCGAAATCTGACCACGGTCAGAACATCACCAGAGCTAATCGCGACAACCTGCATCTTGTTAAAAATCACCCACTAGCCTCCAGCAATAACTAGAAAACTGAGTAGCGGACGATGCGGACATGGCGGTGAGTCAAGATAATGAGAGAAGTTGGTGTGAACTCGACAGCCTCACAAGACAACACAATGAGAGAGGGGCGAGATTTGGTTGTGAAATACATCCAAGGAGCGACTGTTTTGTTGAAGTGACTTGGACGACTGTGATTGGTGCATCAAATCCTGGCTGCCACCTAGCGAAACCCATCAATTGAACCTCAATATGGAGAGTCTCGATAGTTGACTTAATGATCATAGCTGCTGTTATGAAAACGTGTACAGTGCTTCGGGTCAGCTTTGGTTGCCGAAACAGTGTGAACAAACCAAGTGAACAGGCTGGACCCGAAGCTGGGGGTTTATTTGGGGTAACAACGAACTCAGCTGCGACCCTATTGGTCAGCAATTACGTTACCTTGATCGGCAAGAACAGTTGCGACTGTCGATGACGTCGCCAGCACTTGTGGGTATCCTGCGGGAAACATTTTGGTTACATCAGGGTTACCCCGCGTGAGTGGCCCTGGGGTAACCCTCACTCAGCCAGCGATTTTGGCCTTCACATTTTTGGGATGCATCCCTTTCCCTGCTTCCCCATGTCCCCTACCCTGCTTCCCCCCATCCCGTTCCCTGCTCCCCCCCATCCCGTTCCCTGCTTCCCCCCATCCCATTCCCTTCTTCCCCCCATCCCATTCCTTGCTTCCCCCCATCCCATTCCCTGCTTCCCCCCATCCCATTCCCTGCTTCCCCCCATCCCCGTCCCTGCTTCCCCCCATCCCCTTCCCTGTTTCCCCGTATCCCCTTCCCTCTTCCCCCCATCCCCTTCCCTACTTCCGCCCATCCCAATCCCTGCTTCCCCTCATCCCCTTCCCTGCTCCCCCCCATCCCCTTCCCTGCTTCCCCCAATCCCCTTCCCTGCTTCCCCCCATCCCGCGCCCTGCTTCCCCCCATCCGGTTCCCTGCTTCCCCCCATCCCTTTCCCTGCTTCCCCCCGTCCCATTCCGTGCTTCCCCCCATCCCATTCCCTTCTTCCCCCCATCCCATTCCTTGCTTTCGCCCATCCCATTCCCTGCTCCCCCCCATCCCCTTCCCTGCTTTCCCCCTTCCCATTCCCTACTTCCGCCCATCCCAATCCCTGCTTCCCCTCATCCCCTTCCCTGCTCCCCCCCATCCCGTTCCCAGCTCCCCCCCATCCCGTTCCCTGCTTCCCCCCATCCCCTTCCCTGCTTCCCCCCATCCTGTTCCCTGCTTCCCCCCATCCCATTCCCTTCTTCCACCCATCCCATTCCCTGCTTCCTCCCATCCCAATCCTTGCTTCCCCTCATCCCCTTCCCTGCTCCCCCCCATCCCGTTCCCGGCTTCCCCCCATCCCGTTCCCTGCTTCCCCCCATCCCATTCCCTTCTTCCCCCCATCCCATTCCCTGCTTCCGCCCATCCCAATCCCTACTTCCCCTCATCCCCTTCCCTGCTCCCCCCCATCCTGTTCCCTGCTCCCCCCCATCCCGTTCCCTGCTTCCCCCCATCCCCTTCCCTGCTTCCCCCCATCCTGTTCCCTGCTTCCCCCCATCCCATTCCCTTCTTCCACCCATCCCATTCCCTGCTTCCTCCCATCCCAATCCTTGCTTCCCCTCATCCCCTTCCCTGCTCCCCCCCATCCCGTTCCCGGCTTCCCCCCATCCCTTTCCCTGCTTCCCCCCATCCCATTCCCTGCTTCCGCCCATCCCACTCCCTGCTCCCCCCCATCCCCTTCCCTGCTTACCCCAATCCCCTTCCCTGCTTCCCCTCATCGCCTTCCCTGCTTTCCCCCATCCCGTTCCCTGCTTCCCCCTATTAACAAGAATGGAGTGTTGGCCCCGCCCTCGCTTAGGCAACGCCGACGACTTGGTCGGATGTACGGGAGTAGCAGCCGACCGTTTACAGTGGGAAAGCTGCTCGACAGGCTTCGTCGAGCTGCAGGGGACCGCTGTGGTATTGCTGTTGACTAGGGAGCTCGACAGCTGCAACCGACTGGTCTGGGCAACGGGTGGGACGTCGACCAGGACCTACAGCTCGACTGGGAGGTCTTCGGAGCATCCCGTCGACCTGCCGTTCGACCGGGAGGTCTCCGAAGCAGTCCGTTGACCTGACAAGTGAGCAGCGGTCGACGAGGGGAGCTCGGCGACAACCGCTGACGGTTCTGGTCGACGGAAGGGGTCCGTCGACCAGGGGGTAGCTTGACGGGAGTTGTGGTCGACCAGAGGGACCTGGGGGTCGACCAGAAGCAGTGGTGGTCGACCGGAAGCACCTGGTGGTCGTTCGGGTCGACCGGGTAACCTGCTCGACGAGTTCTATGGGGCAACGCTGGACAGCCGCTCCGCTGCAGCGTTGGCACGCCGTCGACCTGCTCTGTTGGCAGATCGCCTTTCCGCAGTGCTGGCGCGGCCCCTTTATGCAACGCTGGCAGGCGGTCGACTGAGCTGTGCTGGCTGTCGACCAGGCCAGCTGCAGGGTTGCTAGGTGCCTAATGTAGTCATTCTATCATTGCTTGTTCAATCATTATGTAATTCCAACTTTGCTAGTGGAAACTCTTGCCGATTTCTCCTGTGAATGTGCAAGCACTAAGGAACCAAGCAAAGCTACGATCACCTCTAGTAGTTCGTGCCAACCCTCGTAGTCTAGCTCACTACCATTGTAGAGTGACTCTCCTCACCCCCATCCCCTTCCCCGCTTCCCCCTATCCCCTTCCCCGCTTCCCCCCATCCCCTTCCCTGCTTCCGCCCATCCCATTCCCTGCTTCCGCCCATCCCAATCCCTGCTTCCCCCCATCCCCTTCCCTACTTCCTCCCATCCTCCTCCCTGCTTCCCCCCATCCCCTTCCCTACTCCCCCCTTTCTCCCTGTCCCCTTCTCCCTGTTCCCTGTCTCTGTGTGAGCCGTTTCATTGAACCTGCTTTCCCCCACCCTCTACACTGCTTCCTCCCTACCCCTGCTCTGCTTCCCCTCATCCTCTGCCCTCCATTCTCCTCATCCTCTGCCCTGCCTTCCCTTCATTCTCTGCCCTGCCGCCCCCCACCCTTTGCCACCCTCTGTTCTGCTTCCTTCATCCTCGCCCACCTTACCGCCTGCCCGAGTACCATCTGCCCACCTTAACACCTCAAATCCTTTCCTTCTCATCCGCGCGCAGGTGTGGCGGAAGGTGTACATGGTGCGGAGCATGTTGGAGGAGCGTTTTGACGTGGTAATGACTGATGACCCCATTCTCTGGCAAGTCAACCCCCGCCAAGCTTAGGTGAGTACCAACTCACACCCCGTTATCGCCAAAGGCGATCTATACATGGCGTGCAGCAACACGCGCATGCTCAAGTTCTTTGACGAATGGATTCCCCGGGCACAAGTAATGAGCGCCTCTCTCTCGCACTCTCGCCCCTCCCTGCCACAATGCTGCCGCCTCTTGTGCCTGTTGCCTGCTGCCCACGCCTTCCCTCCCACCTCCCCCACACCATGTGCATTTCAACATACCAACGCAGTCCCAATCGCTCTTCCACTCACTCTACTCTCTCCCCATTCCCTCCCCCTTTGCTCCTCTTCTTCCGCGGCAGGCCATGTTGCTGTGTGGCGGGCCGAGACTTACATGTTGCAGTGCCGGAACATAAGGCGAGTTCATTTTGCATGCCTCAACTGGTGCTGCACATTGCAGTGCTTGCGAGTCGTGACCATGGCAGTCTGTCGCCTGCCAGCACGTCAGAAGCACTCTTAGAGCACTCTAGCAGCTGTTAGAGATGCTTCCCTAGGTACCTGAAGAAGCCGGGGTTATCTAACCGTAGGGATCGACTTGTGGATCGTGCTATGTTATGCGCTGGAGGTTTATAGGTACAAGGGTCTACTAGTGGTATAAGGGTTGTATAGTGTATGCCCATATCTCAGTGTTGACCCGCCCTCTTCTTCGTGATGCAACAGATGAATACAAACCCTGTTGCTATTGCTGCTGACGTTTTTTATCATGCAATTGGCAGTCTTGTGAGTGCAGCACTTCTGAGGTAACAGACGAGGATTCTCACGAATACCGTACTAAGAGAAGAAGTGAGCGCAAAGAATGTACATAGGTGTGTACACAACAGCATGTGGTGACCGTTGAGGGCCCACAGAGATTGCAGGCCGTGGATGAATGGAGTGGGGAGAACACTACTCACGCTACCACTGCCATGTATGTGCATGACGCCACACAGAACCGGCACGCACACTGCCACGTCAGCATGCATGCAGGTGACTGCTGACATGGCAGCAGTGGCACCAGAAGGGGCAGCGGCAACGGCGTCGAGGGTGAGTGACAGCCAGTTGTGGTAGAGCTGGCGCAGCAGCCGGTCCGCCTCGTCCACCACCTGATGGGAGCAAGAGGGCATGCAGGCGGTGCAGGGGGTGCACGGAGGGAGGCATGGGGAGGCATGGGGAGGCATGGGGAGGCATGGGGAGGCATGGGGAGGCATGGGAAGGCATGGGGAGGTACGAGGAGGCAGGGAGGCATGGGAAGGCATGGGGAGGCACGGGGAGGCATGAGGAGGCATGGGGAGGCATGGGGAGGCATGGGGAGGCATGGGAGGCATGGGGAGGCATGGGGAGGCACGGGGAGGCATGCAACGGGAGCTGTTGTTGGCCCCGTCCTCACTTGGGCGGAGCCGACTTCGTGGTTGGGTGTACGGAGGTACAGCCGACTTGCAGCAGTGGGCGATGCCGACTTGGGCGAGCTGGTCGGCGGGGTTGGTCGACTTGCACGGGGCCACTGCAATGCCGCCGACTTGGGAAGCCGGCCCAAAAGTCGGCGCCGACGTAGAAGGGGCGTCGACTTGGTGACGCCGACTTCGGGTAGCCGACTTGGGTGGTCGGCTGACGACTGCGCTGGTCGACGTGGAGCTGGTCGACCAAGAGTGACGTCAACCTGGAGCTGGTTGACTAGGGGTGTGGTCGACCTGGTGAGGTCGACTGGAGGTGGCCGTCGACTTGGGAGGTCGACGGGCACATACGGGAGCACCTGGTCAACGTGGTTGCCCGGTCGCCCAGGTTTCTGGGTGACGAGGTTCTGTGGTAGAGTGCGACGGTCGCCCAGGCGATGTTGGCGAGACTGACCTCGGTGGTGGTATCCCGAGGTCGACGTGGCGGATCAGGTGGAGTCGTCAGCACGAGGATCACTTGGTGTGTGCGTTGTGCAAGTGACCAGGCTCAGCACGCCAATCATCTGCGAGCACCTGCGAAGCTGGTGCGCTGCTGTTCTGCGGGAGCAGTGTTGGCACGCCGGCGACTTTGCACTGCTGGAACGCGGTCGACCAAGTCGTGTCGGAACGTGGTCGACCATGCTGTGCTGGCAATCGACCGACCTGACTGCTAGCTCTGATGTAGTCTTGTCTTGCCAACCTGATTTGACCATTGTTGTCAACTTTCTCTAGTGAAACTCTTGCCTACTTGCCCTGTGAACAAGCAAGCAGTGTGTGCACTAGGAAAACGACTAAGGACCAGCGAACGCGGAGATCACATGAGCACCCGTGCCTAGCCCGTAGTCTAGCTCCCGTTGTAGTAGTCATCTCCGCATGGTGCGGTGAGCGTGGACGGCACACGACTTAGCTTTCAGTCAGGTCGACGTAGAGGTCACTTACCTAAGTTGTTCGTAGGCCGGCAGCCGTGCAGTCATGCGTGCGCGTAGGTGACGTAAAGGGAATGGAGACCCTGGAAGCACAGCTGGAGGATGCGAGGACACGCCATGGGGCCCACGAATACGGAACGATCCCCTTGGCGGTTGTGGAGGCTGGCATTCGCACCATGTGGGCGACGTTTCACCCTTCATGACCTGCGTCTCCTCGACCGGTGAACACAGAGGCCGGCGTTGACGTGGGCGTCAACGCCGGTGGTGACTAGGTCGGCAGCAGTGCGGGAGGCACGTCGAGGCAGAGAGTTGTGATACACGCCAATGAAGTCGGCAGCGTTCAGGCGCAGGGAGTGCAGCCGTCGGCGGCTGCAGGCTCCTTGCATGGCAACGCCGGAGGTCGACGAAGCGGGTTGTCGCCGATGTCGGCGACCCAGGTGACGGCGGGCGGGATTGCTCCGAGCTACGGCTACTTCAAGTTCACGCCGGACAAGATCCTGGTCACCCCAACGCTCACTGGTCGACCCGACATCCTCACCTGGAAGGAAGCTATTGAGCCCCAGCTGGAGATGGCCGGGCTGATCGGCTTCGCCCACGGAACCATGGCGACACCGGACGACCCCTACTTGCGAGCTGAGTTTCACGCCGTGCAGCTGTTGACCTTCACGGTCATGTCGCGGTGCTGCTCGCCGAGCGTGCAGATCGCCTTGAAGTGGTGCCGAGAGTACCTCGACGCCGGCCACAGGGCGTGGCACTTCATCGAGTCGACCTACCAAGTCACCGACGACTTGTTCATCGCCCAGCTGGAGGGGCAGCAAACGCACCTGCGTATGGGCGACGAGGAGACGGCGATCGACTACTGCAACCGAGCTCAGCGGATTATCGCCACCATCAGGATGCCCGGCGCGCAGTGTTCGACGGCGTCATACGTCACCCACGATATGCAGGGACTCTTGAGCAGCTACAACCTCCTGTAGCGGCTGTCGATGGCGCCGAGCACGAGGAGGACGCTCAACGGGGACAACTTGACCTCGTACATCCTGCAGGACGAGGCGATGCAGGAGGCTGAGCGGTCCCAGGAGCTCTTGGCGCAGGCGAACTTCGTCGCCCCAGCGAAGCAAGGAGGTCGACCGGGGCAGCGTGGACTGTCTGGCGGCGGTGGTAGCAGTGGCTGGAAGCTGACCAAGGAAGTCGAGAAGAAGAAGTCGACCAAGGACAGCGGTT